TGGTGTAGGTGTGTGTATATGTGTGTGTGGGGGGGGGGGTGTGCCCATGTAGGATGTGGTGTACAGATGTTCACATCAGATGTCTTATTTAGTCACTCTCCACCTTATTTTCTGAGACAGAGTGTCCCTCCTGAATCTGGAGCTCACTGAGGAGTTAGATTGTTTGCCTGCGAGTCCCTGGGAAACCCCTGTCTCCTCTCAGCACTGGCACAAGTGTGTGTCACCATACCTGGAGATCTGAACTTGGGTCCTCGTGATGTACAGTACCCATTTACCCACTCAGCTACCTCCCTCCCCCACCCCACCCCACACACACACACCAGCCCTAAATCTTCTGAAGATTTAAGTCCTGGCTGTTTGGGCCATGAAAGATTTTTCCGTGAGTAAATACTGAAAGATGTTCACCTTTATTGAGGAATGTAACTATAACTATTCCCCCCCCCTCTCTCTCTCTCTCTCTCTATCTATCATCTATCTATCTATCTATCTATCATCTACCTATTTATATCTATCTATCCATCTACCTATCTATCTTACTGGCCAAAGAACTCAATAAACACACATTCACTCATATCAGAGATGCAACAGAAGATGGCTTCAGGGCTGTCAGAAATGCTTTTGGTGGTGGCTCCATAATTACAGGCATTACAGTCAAAGTGGTCCTGGTAGAAACCCTCTTTGAGTAAGAGCCAGTGCAAAGGGCAGGGTCCAACTTGGAGGTGGCTCCATAGATTTGCTGACATATACTCACTGTCTCCAGAGCTCTTGGTTTGACCATCAGGAGCCATTGGTTAAATTTTAAACAAGAGGCTCTGAAAGGTAGCCGCGGCCAAATGTGAAGGCTGAGTTCCATTCCTGAGACGCACACGGTAGAGGACACTGTAGTGAGTGTAAACTGAGGCAAAGGTGAAGTGTGGCTGAAGAAGGTGTGCATGGGTTAGGATACTGTCAGACTGGACTCTTCAGAACTCTGAACTTCCCAGGCATGCGAAATATCCACCCCCTACCAACTTGGATCTTTTTTTTTTTTTTTTTTCCTAGCCCAAATTATTGTGGTTCCTATGAAATTGCTTTTCCAAATGAGTGGATCCCTGGAATCCATGTTCTAAAGTAGAGAGAGAATGGACTCCAGAAAATTGCCTCTGACCCCCACTCTAGCTCTATGACTTGCACACACACAGACACACAGACACACACACACACACACACAGACACACACACACACACACACCTCATGCACAACACATTAAATAAATAAAAATAAAATTTAAAAAGTAGGTCAGTCAATTCAAAATTACTTTCCCAGTAGGGTCGAACCAAATGTGTGTTAGTTAACTTCTCCATCGTGCTGACTGTCAGGTCTAAGCATTATGAAATAGGGCAGGATTCAAACCTGCCAGAAGGAACCAACCACTTCCCTTGTATACATGAGGTTACATATCAAAGCCCATGCTGGGCTCCAGGCTCCTTTGGTCCTTAATCACAGGTACCTGTTAGGCATTTCAAAGCCCATGCTAGCACCCTGGCCCTTCCCACCTTCCCTTCTACCATAAACACCTTGAGTTCACAGCTATGTGCCCCACCCCCACCCCAGCTACTTATTCTCCTTGTCACCCACTTGATTTCCCATGAGCCCTTCCTTGGACCTGGCCTGCTTCTTTCTCTCTCTGTTCTGGACTCTTGTAGATGCCTCTGGCTGTTCTCTTTGTCTTATCTACAATAAAAACTGTCAATGGACCAGTTTTTTATTTACTGCACTCTCCCTTACAGTGGCAACTGCCAGAGCGAAGCAACTCGGAGGAGGAAGGATTTCTTTCCCCCATTGTTTCAGAAGTCTGAGTCCATGGTTGGCTGGCTCTGCTAAACCATCTGTGGTGACGGAGGACATTTCAGCAGTAGAAGTACTGATGGATGGGAATGGTGAGACCTTGAAAAACGGATGCAAACAGACTGTGATGACCCAGGGATGAACAGCTTTCCAAGGAAAGCTTGCTTCAAGTGGGTGTTACCGCCTCCTTCCCACCACCTTTTAATAATCAAATTATGAATCCATCAGTGAATCAATCCACTGATTAAGTCACAGCTTCAGGAGCCAATCACTCTCCAACAACCCAACTTCTGAACCTTGCTTTGGAGACCAGGCCTTCAGTATGGTGAGCGCTGGAGGCTGGAGGGTGAGAGACACCCCTCACCTTAACAACAGAAGGGTTTTCCTCATGCTGTTGCCTCAGGTTGACTAGAATCTCCCTTGCTGGGGAAACTGGTCTCCTTCAAAGTTCACTTTGGTTATGTGGTGTTTGGCATAGATGGCTGCATTCTGGTTTGGTCTGGTCTACTGGGGAGTCTCCTTGTATAAGAGGCTAGTCAAAAAGAGAGAGAGAGAGAGAGAGAGAGAGAGAGAAGAAGAAAAGATGGTGTCCTATCAATCTTTGAAGTAGATAAGTGGTGTACAGCACAAGATTCGTGGGACTGGCTCAAATATTGATTAATATAATTTTATTTGGGGAGAAGTCACTTACAGGCCATGCAGATGACTGCCTCAAGTCCCTGCTCAGAGGATCCACGGCTGCCCTTCATGACCCAATCGGGAGTCAGAGAACGAGCTGGGGTCCTGGACCCCAGACTTAGCCTCTCCCCACCCTGTCACATCCACACCTGTGCCCATGCCCCAGGGGGCAGGGGTCAATGCAACAGGTGGGCGGGGTGGATATCTCATTACAAATTACTACTTAGTAAAACTTCTCAGAAATGGAAAGTGTCCAACCTACCTGTCACTCACTCCCAGGTTATCTGAAACAAGAATCCATGCTAGGACAAGGCTGTTGCATTTGATTGTATGGTAAGAGTGTGTGCCATATTTGACATGGAGTCCCATTTCAGCCAATTTCTAGCTGCTACCTGCTAGCCACTTAATATTTCTCTGCCCCAGTTTCTTTATCAGTCAGGTAGAGGCAATAGTGAATCAGGATCATAAGGAGAATTTTTAAAAAGTAGATATTGTCAAGGATAAGACCACACCACAATTTTAAGACAAATTTGAATCAAGCTTTCATTTAACACTGGCCAGGATGATGGACTCTGGATTCTGGCCATGTCTATCTGTGGGTTCCCAGAAAATGGCCACGAGTCGTGTTTTCTAGAGGCTAAAAAAGGCAACCTCATTCCAGGATAGTGGTGGGGCACGACTTCACCTCTGAGTTCAAGACCAGCCTGGTCTACAGAGTGAGTTCCAGGACAGTCAAAACTACACAGAGAAACCCTGTCTTGAAAAACCACACACATACACAAAGGCAGTCCCATTGGGTCTGCAACCCCCATGGCAGCATCCATGCCTCACAAAAGAGCTGGTCCTGCCCTGCACGGCCCCCCAGCACCGTGTAGTATGGGCATGGGAGCACTAGCTTCACCCTGCTGTGGCCACAAGCCGTCCTAAACTTGTGCCTAGCACACATGCAGGCAGAGAAAGACTCATCCTCCCTTGGGGGGACTGTTCAATAGGATTTGACTATGCTCCAGTAAGTATATGAACCACAAAAAATGGACTTGGTTCTTGTTGGGTTTTGGTGGGGGGGCAGGGTATGGCTGTAATGGGGGCGTTGGGGAAAGGGTGGGCATGGGAAGACTGGGAGGTAAGCATGATCCAGGGGCATGATGCAATCAATAAATAATCCCAAATAATCAATAAAAAATAATTTTAAAAAGGGCAACCCCACAAGGCCCTTGTATTTCCCATCGGGTCTAATCAGGGACAGGCATATAACTTCCTGCCTTCATACCTCCCATCTACATCTGATCAGAGGCAAGTGTACATCCCGATGTATTTCCTGCCAGAACCTCCAGCCTACATGTAATCAAGCACAACGGTGAAGATGAGGTATACATGACTCAAAAAAACTGTTGAGGGAGTGAGAACACGTGGCTCGTTATCTCCCACGAACAGCAGCCTCCAGCATTTCAGGAAGTATCTGTCCTTGGGCAAGGGGCTTGCAGGTTAGAGGGCTTTTTATTTCATGGATCTCATAGGCACTGCAATTAAAACCTAAAACATAGCTTTGGCTCTCACAATATGCCCTCCCCTCTGCCCCAGCATTAAGAATCATGCCCAGAGGTCCAGTGGGATAGCCCAGCAGTTACGAGCACTGGTTTGGTTCCCAGCACCCACCTAGTGGTCCATAACCATCTGTAGCTTCAGTTCCAAGGGACCCAAGCGAAACACACACACAAATAAATTTACATTTTTTTTAAAGAGTGGGGGGAGCCCTGACAATCTCAGTTTGATCTCTGAAATCCACAAAAACAAAACAAGCAAACAAACCCGAGAAACTTGGCATGGTGGTTCATCACTGTAAGCCCAGCACTCCACAAGGGATGAGAGATAGAAGAATTGCTCGGAATCCCTCGGCTGTGCAGTGCAGCTGGAAGGAGAGGATAGCCTTCCAAAGGCTATCTCCTGACCTCATTTAAAATAAAAAGTAAGAACCCTGCCTAATACATAGCAAGTGCCCAGTCTGTTATGGAAAACAGAGCAACCTAGGCCTAGGCATGGGGGTAGCAGTAGGGCTCTCACCTAGCATGCCCTGGCCCTGGGTTCAGTCCTCCCTAGCACTTCAGGGAGGAAGAGAGGGAAGGAGGGAAGAAGACAGAAAAAGGCAAAGAGAAATGTCTGATCAGAAGCCTGGCGCACATCTTTAATCCCAGCACTCAGGAGGCAGAAGCAATCAGATCCCTGTGAGTTCCAGGCCATCCTACAGTGTGAGTTCCAGGACACAGAGAGACCCCTGTCTCAAGAAACAAACAAATGAAAAACAGTCTGATTGGTGCAATCCCAGGCCACCCAATGCTTCTTTACTCAGTATATTAAAAGAGGAAAATGAGGTGTAGAAACCAGTAACTTTACCAGGCAGGTAACACCAGTCAACCCCTGAGTGACTCAGACCTCTTCCTCCCCTGAAAGGTATGGATTGTTCCGTTTAGTCCATTGTAAGAAAAGCAGCAGGCCCTATTTGGTAAGAGATAGCTTTGGGCAACTTCTGCCTGGATTAACACAGCCAATCAGAATCCAGGACTCTGCTCTTTGGACTAGAGACTGTCCCTAAAGCTGATCACCACCTCTCCCCTCTTCAGAGCTTCTCAGAGCTTCCACTCCAGTAAGATTCAACTCCACACCACAAGACACTTCCTGCTCCAGACCTTTTAAACTGTAAGTACAGTACTTATTAAGAATTTCTTTAAATATGGGGGGGGGGGGAAGAGCTTTAAAAGTTATTTCATTGTTTTGTTTTATTCCTACCATAGCTTGAGATGCTGTTGAAAGATTTGATTTTTCTTCCCTGATTTTAAATTTAGTGAATTTAGAGGAACTTGGCAATTATGAGGCAAGTATTTTGCTAAGTGTCAGGCTTTGGAACATCTCAGCTGGAGTCCTCTGGAAACAGTGGGGAACGCATTCTATGTGTTTTATTTACCAACTCGATCCTTCCTTCCTCTCTTTATTCACTGGAGCTGGTTTAGTTGCTGCCGGCACACACAAAACAACAACAACAACAACAAAATGTTCATCCGTTTAAACTATCTGACAAAACTAGATGGGGTGTTTGAAGGTTTAGTTTATGGAGTTTGAGAATCCTTAGGAATTCTCATGAAAGCAAAAAAAATATAACTACTGTGGAGATTTAGTTCTGGTACTCACTGATGTGCAAAAAGACAAAAGCTACCACTCACATCTCATATTAGATAGCTCATGAGATGAGAGGTCATTGTGTGTTGGGACTGTTCCAGTCAACAAAACAATAGAAAAAAGAAAATCTAAGCATATATTTTTCTGATCCTGGGCTAATCAATATTAAACAGATTTATTAATATAACCAGTGCCACATAACATAATTTTATTAAGCCAGGTAACTGTCCTTCTAAAGAGTGGGGTGTTCTGAGGCAGAATAGAATGTAGGTATAAGAATGAGTCTAACCCTAATTGATAAAATTAAGATGTTCAACATGTGAGCCAAATACTACAAGATTTCCTGGCAGAGACCATTTCCTGCAAAAAAACTTCCTAAGGAAGGTATTGGTCATATCACTTTTCAAGGCTTGTCCTGTTAGATTCGCATTTCAATCTCCTCGTCTCCATTTCTTCTCTTCCTGAGCTTTATCAGTCTTTTTTCTGCTGTCCATTCAAAGACACTGTACACCAAAGCAGAGCTCTGAGCAGGGCTGTCTGCATGGACAGGGAACTACAGATGTCTCCTTGATTCAAGGCAGGCCTATCACAAGACTTTTACACACGCAGCAGGGTCAATGCATGTTCATTAAACGGATGTGTAAGTGTTAGTAATGAGGGAAATGGGCAAACCAAGAGACAAAGGTTATAAGGTCTGAGAGGTAATGGGGTAAGAATCTCCACTCTAGTCAAGGGTCCAGGTCAGGTCACACCCTGAGCTGATTTTGCATGTGCTAGGCATGGGGGTGATGGGAGAGCTCTGCCTGGGGATAGAAATATCTTTTAAAATAATTGTCATCAAAGCAGCCACATGCCCTATGACATAGGGGCTGCAGCCCAGAAGATGCGAATTACAAACTCCCAGACCCTAGACTAGTAAGTTTCTGGGAGTAGTGATCATTGCCAGCAAGCTTCCCAAGGGCTTTGAGACTGAAGAAACTCTCTAAGAGACACCTGCTTTCTCCAGGAATCTCATGCTGGGAGAAGGAAAAGGCTTCCGGCCAGAGGAATGTGTCTCTTAGAAAGGCACACACACACACACACACACACACACACACACACACACACACAGAGTCAGGCCACCTTCCAGGTTGCTGCTTAAGCCCACATGGTACTTAACCTTAATCCATATCCAGAGGACAGATTTGTGGGTGGGGGACAGGTGTTGCTGGATTTCTCTGCCCCCCCCCTTTTTTTCCTGCTTTCCATTATTAATTTGACTCCTAATTGGCTTACTGAAGATGGGTGGTCAAACATGGTTTGAGTGCAGCCTCTAAGGGCTATGGAAAAGGCACAAACATAAGGTCACAGAACACTCAGAAACATGTCATAGATAGCATTAGGGCGTGGATACCTTTAGGGTGTGGATAGCATTAGGGCGATATAATATTAAAGCAGATATTTTTCCCTTACTTCCTGGTGACCTTTCATTAGAGTTGACTAAGGTTAAAGGCAGCCAAATCTTGATTGTTGAAGCCACAGGGCGGGGTGAGGAGGGGCAGGGAGGGGCGATGTCAGGTCTTTGAGATGGTCTGCATTGGATTTTACATTTTGTTGTAACTTCCAAGGGAAGCAGAATTGCGACAGGCTCACAGGACTTCATAAGACTGCACTGAGCGAGTCTGTTTGCTGACTCCTCTTAGCACTTTGTGGTTAGTTCTGCTATTGGGGGGTTTTAGTGGGCAGCACGCTGAGAATCCGGAGCTGGGCAAGGTCGACCCACACATGCATCTTCACTTCCTCTACCTCTGCCTCTTAAAGAACTGTGGACAAGCTGCACAATATAAGCCCCTCTTCAGAGTAAGCCAAAGGTGGCAAACGGCAATCTTGGACTGCCAGTTTCCTCTAGAACTGCTCTTCTAGGCAGTACTGGATAGAACATCCTACCCAACAGCCGTAGGCAACCTTCAAGGGTAGGAAGGTATCTTGGTATTCAAACCCTCTTGCTCCACCGGCAACGCCCTCACACTTGCTTGGCTTCTGTTCCCCACCCCAGTTTCCCACCTTCAAAAGAGGAACTTAGCTGGGCACCAAGTGCACCTGCCTAACACGTAGGAGGCCTTCGGTTCAATCCCCAGTACCACAGGAAGAAAGAGAGAGAAAGAAAAATAAATCCATGAAAGAAACATGCAACATTTTAATTTATTATTTTATTTGTTATTTGATTTTTGTCTGTATTAGAAATAGAAAAAAAGTCACAATACAAAAAAGACTGAAAATAATTTCCATGTTTGTAGGGCACATTACATGTGTTTTCAAATTTCTTCTGGGTTTAAAAAAAAAAAACATGAAAAAGAGGGGCTGGAGAGATGTTTCAGAGATTACGAGCACTGCCTGCTCTTCCAGAGGTCCTGAGTACAATTCCCAGCAACCACATGGTGGCTCACAACCACCTGTAATGGCATCCCATGCCCTCGTATGGTGTGCAGGCAGACATGCAGACAGAACACCCATGCATTAAGAAAATAAATACACAAATACTTTTTTAAAAATAAAAAAGACATGAGGTTTTGTTATGGATATTATCATGTTTATTTATTTAAAATATTACATTCTTTCTCCTGCCTCCACCTCCCAGGTGCTAGGATTAGAGGCACCACCACCTCGGCTGGTAACACACAACTTAGACCCACTGAGGGATGTTTCGGCCACTAGTAGAGAAAAGAACATAGTTTTACCAACGATCTGGCAATGAGCAGATAGACATCTTTGCCTCAGATGCCAATTGCTGTGGACTTTAGAGGCCTGCGTTCAGGTCTCAAGTGGTTGTAAAGTCTATTCAACCCAATGTAAATACACCAATGTCTGCAATCTGCTGGGTGAGAGTTGCCAGGAAACGTACGCTTATAGAGCTAAGGGGCAGCAGTTTTCTCCCGACCCTCCAGATGCCCACTGCTATTTATAATCACAATGCAGGTTTCCTGGAAAAGGAGTGAGTTAAAGGACTATAATTTTCCTCTGAAAAGGAGGGCAGTCAGATGCTCCTTCGCTCACTCTGCTGTCGCTTTCCCAATGCCAGCGGTGTGGTGGACACTGACGAGCCCAGGAGTAAAACTACAGCTGTAGACGATGCCTTACTCCCCTTAAAGATGTTAGTTGCCAATCTGATTTTCCCTGAAGGGTAAAAAAAAGCTATCTCAAGATTTCATTATAAAAGAAATAAATGGAGCTGGGCGGTAGTGGTGCACCCCTTTAATCCCAGCACTCGGGAGGCAGAGACAGATGGATCTCTGTGAGTTTGAGGCCAGCCTGATTTACAGAGCAAGTTCCAGGACAGCCAGGACTGTTACAAGAGAAACCCTTTCTCGAAGAACAAAAATAAATAAATACTGAAGATAAAAGTGAAAAAACATTGTCAGCAGCTCACCCTGAAGTAACCACCCAGCATTATTGGCTAATTCTTTTGTATTCTTTCTGGCACTTGAATACTCAAAGACAATGCAAAATAAATCTGAATATACATGCTTTTCTATTTTCTAAAATGCTTTGCTGTCTAATACATGTGGTAAGTAATCTCTCAGACTATGATTTCTGATGTTATAGTGTTGGAGTTTGGGATGGAGGGAAGCTCTGAAGGACTTTTGTGGGGAGGTCTGGACAGTCCTGGGAAGCTGGGCCTCACCCATTGTGAGGGGCTTAGGGCCTGCCCATTCACCAGCCAGTGAAATGCGCCCTATGAGGACATCGAGCATTTCCCCAGCAGATGGGGAAAGAGACAACTTCATAGCTGGAGTCAGTGAAAACCCTTCCAGGCACCTGCTGCATTTTCCAAGTCTTCCATTAGTAGGCACTGCTCACAAAACATGGGTTCATTAGTTGTGAAAAGGGTCAGCAACAAAATTGAATTATTGTAATATCTTTACTTTCTTTTCCTGAAATAGATGAAATAAATTTAGGGAACAGTTGTGCATTCTGTAAAGACACTTCAGAAAGTTGGAAGATGGACACTCCAGTCAAAAATAAAAACAAAAAGGCTGGTTGTGGTGCTCAGTTGCTATAGACCTTGCCTAGCAAAGCAGGAGACCCTGCATTCAATCCCTGGCATTGGGTGAGGCAAAAGGTCCCGAGTTCAAGATCATCCTTGGCTACAGTTTGAGGGAAGGTTAAACTACATGAGACCCTACTCCAAAAAAGAAAAGAAAAGAGAAAAGCTTTGCTGCATAGGGCTACAGAGGCAAGTCGCATGTAGAGATCGATGGGGCGGTACACTAGGTGTGGCCCATGGTAGTTATTCAGTTATTTCAGATGGGTGTTTTTTTCTGGTCAACCATCTGCTGATAGTTATAGGTCATCAGACCTTCTGAGTTCCACAAATCCAAAGGATGTTTAGATTAGCATGTCTTATGACATGGTATTAGCCCCTTTCCTGGAATAGGTAGTTTTGCAGTTAATCATTAGGTACAAGGGGCATTGTTCAGTTGCTGGGAGACAGAGACATTTTTCTTCACTGGTGTGGTCACTGGCTAGTTGCCCATGCTCCTGTGAGTAGCCCTAATGAAACTCATACACACACACACACACACACACACACACACACACACACACACACACACACGGGATGCAGACAAACATGTGCTAAAGAAATCACACAAGGAAAGAAGGAAGGAAGGAAGGGAAGGGAAGGGAAAGGGAAGGAAAGGAAGTAAAGGAAGAAAACGAAGGAAATCCTTTTAGAAGAAGGTACCCGAAGGCAAAAGTCCCAGGACAAGATAGTAAACCGCAGCCTTTCACCTTCTTGAACCTGTTGGGTGGTTTCAGTCATTCAGAGCTGTCATCAACAGCAAAACTAGTGAGGGACCCACAATACACAGGCCAGCTGTGTGCCCTCCACAATTAGCGAATTTCTAAAATGAACTGAAAGCAAAAGGAAGTTTATTTAACTTTCCTATCAGTAAAGCTGCTGCTCCCCAGTGAACCCTTCTTAACAAATGAGTATGCGTCACCATAAATTGCCCCTCACCTTCTGGTGACATCTCTATTTCCTGGTTCTCTTCCAAACCATTCCATTACAGCCTGTATTCTCTAAGAAGGCTTTCCAATGACTTCCTGACAGGCCACAGTTCCCTACTGTGTGCCTTCTCCCTTGGACAAGCAAATCTACTTATTTCACTGCCAGTAGACTTTTGTGGAGTTACTTATTCTTGTCACTTAGTTGCATTTGCTTTGGATTTGCCTGGCTTCAAAGTCACAATCCTCCTGGCCCAGCCTGGATTTCATGTGTGCACCACCTGTTGAGCTACATTCCAGCCCTCTTCAAAGCCTCTGGGCGATTGTAGGGTTGTCACTGCATGGCCACCAGTGCCTCAGAGACTAGGTGGGGAAGCATCATGCCCGCCTGGCTTCGTCATGGGCCAGATCATCCAATGGGCATGTGTGATTGGATGTCTAATAGAGGAGATAGGAAACCATCTATACAGCCAACTTCAAGACAGAAAGACGGGAAACAGTTTCTTTGACTTTGGGGAGTTGAAATTCCAGTTTCTATGGCTTTCTTTGGAGAAGGAATAGTAAGCTAGGGACCCAGGGTAAAAATGAAAACTAACGTTGGTGATATCACAGACTCCGACCATCAGTCTCAACTTGAGCAATTAGTCCTACGGAGCATGCCAAGTGACTATCTTATATTTCTGTTAACTCCTTCTATACTCACTAATAGGAATTTTTCAAGGAAGAAAGTCCCATCCTTTCGCTTCATTAAAAATCTTGTGTATTTATTTATACTAACATTATGTGGATATGATACAGATAACAGAGAGAGAGAATTATAATTTAACCATAACATTACATTTTGCTCAAATTCTCCTGAATCTGGCCACCAAATTGCTTCAGAAGTCTCCTATACTTGGCAGTGGTTCATTTGATTAGATCTACTCTTGAGGCCTTTTTTCTTGCTGACGTCACACTTCCCAGGATCCTCTTAGGCCTTCCCTTCCCCAGCCCTGGAGTCACCCACTAGTGAGCCCTGTTCTTTTTATTGAACAATGGCATTTGATAATCAAGATTTGGGCACGAGGTGTACCTCTCGATGGAATCATCAGAGCAGTATCTTTATATACCTGTGTGTCTATGTGCTGATAAACCTGCTTACCTAATGGCTTCCTGAGACCTGGCACATGTCCCTATGATTTGTAAATTTGTTTTGTTTTGTTTTGTTTTGTTTTAGACAGGGTCTTGCTACATTGCTCAGGCTGGTCTAGAACTGGGTGCTAGTGATCTTCCTGTTTTGGCTCCCCAGGTGCCTAGGACTACAGGCATGTGCTGCCTGGTTTGAAGTGTTGTTCATCTTTCGGTCTTCCACCATTGTGTTCACAAGCCTCATGGGGATCTCACCATTTGCACTTTCCAAGTTAACCCAGTCACATGCATATTATTTAACAGAGTGCTTCCTGGATGCCACAAGCTATTCTAATCTGAAGCACTTGTCCTCCAGCAAATTTATACAACTGTCCCCCACCCCACTCCAGATTGTCCTGACCAAGCTTGAGTGCTAAAGGTCGGATCTCCTCACTGCCAAACAATACTCAGGTCCCTCAAGTTTTCAGTTTTGCCTAACATAGCATTTTTTCCCCTCACTGTTGGGAGAGTTTGAGCATCTTTTTATATATGTAACTTTTTCTTTTTCTTTTTTTTTTTTTTTTTTTTTTTCATTTCTTTTGTAAACTATTTGATCCTGTCTTTCCGTCATTTTCCTAACCTTGGGACTTTTGAATCTCTCTTGCTTTGGATTATATATATATATATATATATATTTTTTTTTTTTTAACATTCTCAATGTCAAATTTTGCACCCCTTCTAGCTACACTTGCTTTACTAAGTCTTTATGAACTACACAGTATGTAGATACCTCACTCAGTAACGGGAAGAGAAATATTTAGTTATTTACTGATCATGACAATGGTCAACAGATGTAAGCATTTAAAAGATCACTATAAACCTCTCTCTCTCCCTCCCTCCCTCTCCCTCTGCCCCTCCCTCCTTCTCCCTCTCTCTCCCCCTCCCTCCCTCCCTCCCTTTCTTCTCTCTCTCTCTCTCTCTCTCTCTCTCTCTCTCTCTCTCTCTCTCTCTTCTCTGCTTCCCACCCCTTCCTTATAGATAGGATCTCACAATGTAGCCCTCCCAGGTGCCTGGATAGAAGGAATGCTAGGATTAAAGGTGTGCATCACCACACCCAGCCTGCCTCTTTTAAAAATTAAACCAATTTTGTCCTCCTCTGTAATAACTAAATATGTTTGCATACTGTTTGCTAGGATTGAAGGGACCAGGGGTTGCTGACTGGTTTATAATTAACTGTACTGAAGTGTATGAAGATTTAGACATATGTAAAGCATCCTTGAATTTGTAAACATCTGAACAAAGCCATCATTTAAGGCTATTCTTGGCTTCATGTGCTACTTTATTTTTTCATTCAAGGAAAATACTAAACTAGCACATACTGCAAGTGATGAAATCTAGAGAAAACAAAGGTGATTGAAGAAGAAAAAAATTACTAACTGATACTAAAAGACAGAGCCACATGGCCCGTTTTTAAAAGTGTTATTTCTATTTAGGAGATGATATCTCCATGTAACCCTGCCTGTTATGGACTTCATTATATAGACCAGGCTAGCCTTGAACTTACAGAAATCCATCTGCCTGCCTCTGCCTACCAAGTATACACTGTATGTATAACACACACACACACACACACACACACACACTTCTAGATAAGAAATGGGCTTCCTGATTCCCAAGAGACCTTCATAGACCAGTGGCAGTCCTGTGTACAAACAGTCCTATGTGAGGGCATGGCTCCTAGTCAGAGACCAAAAAGGGATTTGAATTCAGTTTACTTAACCCCTCCTTCACATTCCCTATTTTCTTATCAACTCAGTAGAGACACCCATTTCCAGTGTCAGAGCTGAGTAAATGGAAAACAAAGGTCTAATACCATACCTGATGCAGTCGGAATCTTGACAAACTAGAGGGCAGTATTGCCAACAAGTTGTGTGTGGATATCATCAAAAGAAACATCTTTGCCAAATCTGTTTGTGTTATAGTCACTCTCCAACGCATTTGTATTCATTTTTAAAAACTGTCCATTAAGCTTGTCTGTAAACTATATTCAGTGCTCTCAATGCATGTGTGAGGTGGGCAGGCCAGCAGTCACTTAGATTTCACAGATGAATGAATAGAAAATTAAGTGACTCATTAAAAGGCTCATCTGAGGTCATGTGGCTTTAGAGATGAGGGCTTTAGCAAAGACATTATCATTCCAAATCTAAGTCACATCCCTGGACCTCAACCCTCTCTTGTAATGAAGAGAAATTAGGAGTAGCCTAACAAAATATGCTTTATAAAGACTTTGCTGGGCTGGGATGCTGACACACGCCTGTAATTCTAGCATTTGGAAGGCTTGAAGCTAGCCTGGGCTACAAGATGAGAGCCTGGCTCTTATAAACAAAACACAATAGAAAACCAGTTGGGGCAATTATCAGGGCTTGCTGTCCCTGCCAGTGTCAGGGGCTAAGCAGCAGTTCTGGGAACTTTGAAGTGATGGAGCAGCTTGGATTCAGGAGACGCTATCAAAACTGGAAGAGGCAGAGCAAATGGGGGGGGATGGGGAGGGGGCACCGGAAGGGGGGTGATTCAGCTTGAGAAAAGGTTGCTTTCCGTGGTTCCCTGATTGTTTCCCACCTTCTGGACAGCAGGTACCTGTCTAAAAATAGATCTGCCCTCTTTCATTGTGTTTGTCCAATGAGAAGCATCTGTTCACTGTATCAGTTCAGTGAACTCTTTCCCCTGGGGCATCTGTCCCCTCAGAGGAGGAAACTGCAATTCTCTTAGAGATCAACAAGCTGATTCTCCAAGCTAGAGGAGCACAGCAGTTAGTTCCAGCCTAGGAGCAGAGCACAGCGCCTTCCCACAGCAGCTCCAAGCTGCACGCGCCAACATTTTCTTCTTTTTCAGACCTCAAATTGATAATGGCTCAGGGATCAACAGTCATCATGACTCAACCTGGATTTGTTCGTGCTCCCCAGAATTCCAACTGGCACACCAGCCTGTGTGATTGCTTCAGTGACTGCGGAGTCTGTAAGTGCAGGGAAGATACCCCCCATGATTGATACAGTGTCCCCTTCCTCCCTTACTGTGTTGAAAGTTGCTAACTATTTATAGATGCCTGGGCATCCTGGAGTGGTACAGTCAACACCTAGCTGATTCTTCTGTCCACTAAATAAATCCTAGAGTTAAGGTAATATTGGAAGTCTTAAATTTGTCTAAAACTTAATGGGCTTGGCCTAATAATTATGAACAGATTATACATAAATGAAAGGTTTTTACTTAAACCTGATTTTGTTGTTATATTTGAAACAGGGTTTCTCTATGTCTTTGGAGGTTGGTCTGGAACTCACTATGTAGACCAGGCTGGCCTCAAACTCACAGAGATGCCTCTGCCTCAGGAGTGATGGGATTAAAAAAAAAAAAAAAAGCAACATCAAAAAAAATCTCTTCATGGTTACACACATAGGATTAGAATCTTATTTTATAGTTACATTGTGTCCCATCACAGACTACTTTTTAGCCAGTTTCAGCACACCCTCAGAGAACTGTTTTAATATGTGCAGTTAAGTTCTCCTGCATGCAGTAACCTACACACACACACTCTCTCTCCCCCTCCCTTCCTCTCTCTCTCTCTCTCTCTCTCTCTCTCTCTCTCTCTCTCTCTCTCTCTCTCAGTTAACTTGGAAGAAAGAAAGTGAGGTGGGGTGGCAAAGGGGCCAGAGGCTTTTTTCTCAGCAAATCGGGAACAAAGATTTGCTTTGAAGCCTGTTCCTAAGAATGGTAAGGAAACACGCACCCTTTAACTTGCAATGGAATGGAACTTGAAAGTGAATGATGCTGATAACTACACGGATAGCACAGATAGAAGGAATTACATACAAGCCTCTTCACCAGCTCTCCTTGACTTACTAGGTAACATGGCTGCCTGACGAGTCTCATGACGTTGTTCTGACACCTGCAAATCAAAGCAAAAATACTTACAATAGGCAAATTCGTTAAACATTAATGTCTTTTTTTAAAACAGATCTTGCCTCAAGTTTATTTTTTTATGTTTTTTTTTCATTTTTTATTTATATTTTATAACAAAGTCCAATTAAATGAAAACAAACATTTATAGACAATATTTGGGAATTTGGGTGTTGTTCTTTCCAAACTACTTCCTGCTGGTAAGGGGCGCTGCCGTGGGGGATTCGAAGAAGATTCAGAAATCCTGGCTGTAGTCTGTAAGGCTGCTTTGTCCAGCTGTTTTGAATGTAGGATCACCTTGTACTCTGTTTCAGGTGGTCTGGCTTGATCAAACCACATTAGTCTGGAAGGAATCCACAGCTTTTCATTTTCTGTGGGAACAAAAATAGAAATCCTTTTCCCCAGTAACTTGTCCTTGAACTTAAATTTTTGAGTCAGAGCATTTTTTTAAAATTTATTATTTTACATGTTGATCCCAGTTCCCTCTCCCTTGCTCCCTCCCTCCCTTAAACATTAATGTTTAATCCTCCAGCCCCAAGCTACTACTTACTCAATTATTTGAATGTACAATTACCTGGATATTGGAATCTTAATGTAGGACTGTCACGATGACTCAGTGGGAAAGTAACAGCCTGAGTTCCATCCCCAGGCCCCATGTTTTGGAAGGGGAACTCAGAGATCCTCTGACCTCTACTCTACCCCTCCAGTACTGGAATTAAGAGCATGCACCATCACCACCACTGGGTTTATGGGAGGATTTTTCTTAAATGCAGATTTGACCAAATTATTTTTCCCTTACAAAATACTTGGTAGTTCTTCCCGGACTTGATGGCATACATAAACACATCTTAATTTGTACGTACACATACACATACACACACACACACACACGCCTGTCACCTCCTAAGGTCATACCTACCTTGGCCATAGTGAATGAATGAATATGACAAATTATCTCAAAGAGGCTTTGTTCCCTTTGGTTCATTTTAAAATCTTCTAACCATGTATCACCATCCACCTCAGGTGGTACTTCCTACTCAGGACCTTAGCAGCTCCCGTGTGAAGGGAGCCGGGTTCTCCACCAGACCTTCTTTCCAGTCATATCCCTATTAGATCCAGCTGGGAGCATTTTTAGTACCCAGGGTTTTACCTAGAACATGGGTTCCTTTCAGTAATTAACATGAGTGTAAAAAGAGCTAGGTCTTTTCCATGGGCAGTCACTCTTGAAGTGGGGGTGGGCAACGGGGATGTAAACGATGAAGACAGACTTGGCAGCAGAGATGGGAAAGGCCTCATGATGTGACTGCTCTTGGTGGAGCTGATGGGGCAGACTGGAGTAACGTGTACTCGACTTTCATGTTTCCAGGCCTCTGCGGGACGTTTTGCTTTACGTGTCTTGGGTGTCAAGTGGCAGCCGACATGAATGAATGCTGTCTGTGTGGTACAACAGTGGCAATGAGGACTCTCTATCGAACCCGATACGGCATCCCCGTGAGTCACCTTTTATCACTCCAGTCTGTAACCAAATTTGCTGTAGCTGTTGTAGGAGTGGCTGCCAGGCTCTGAATTTGATTGGCCAGAGTTTTGTAGCATGTACAACTTAAATTCAGTTGACACAGTAGTCAACTTATTGTACCCTCTGAATATCCTAGAAAGCAGGTAATTCATATTTACAATATGTATAATATAATAGAGGATTATCTAGAACCTAGTGCACTTTAGGTGCCTAAATGGTCAACCATCCTTGTGATGCCTATGTGTGTTATGGGAAGACTTCAAAGTTTGTAAGAAGCAGAGTCTTTGACGCAGAAGTGTACCCCAGAATCAGCGAGAGACCATATCCAATCCAACTGCTTGTGCATGCACTTCCCATTACTTACTCCTACATCACTGTATGAAATGGGGTAGCATTTTAACCAAAGTTACACGGAGAAACGGTCAATACAGTGATTAGATGTGTGTACATACGTGTATGTACACTTATTTCCGTACATCATATAAGGAATGTGCATTATATACATTTGCCTCCCTCTGTGTGTGTAGAGAGACAGAGACAGAGGTAAAGAAAAAGCAGGATGATGGTGGCTCACGCCTTTAATCCCAGGACTCAGGATGCAGAGGCAGGAGGATCTCTGAGTTCAAGAACAGCCTAATTCAAAGAGCAAGTTCCTGGACAACCAGGGCTACACAGAGAAGCCCTGTCTTAAAACAAAACAAAACAAAAGCAAAAACAAGAAAAGAAAGAAAGACAGAAAGAGAAAGAGAGGCATTTATTTTAAAGTCATTCAATAGTGGAAGCCAGTTAAGTCCAAAACTTGAACAGTAGGCTGTCAAGCTAGATACGTGTGGATGAATTGAAGATCAAGTCTACAGGCAGTTTATGAGGAGGATTCTTCCTTATTCAAGGGAAATCCATCTCTTCTACTTCCTCCAAGGTCTTCAACCAGCAAAGCATGGTAGCACACACACCTGTAATCTTAGGATGTGGGAAGTTGAGGTAGGAAGGTTGGGAGTTTGACACCAACCTGAGCAACACAGTGTGACCCTGTCAGAAGGAAGAGAAGGAAGGAGGAACAGACGGAGCTGAGGAGAGCTAGGTCAGTAGAATGCTTGCCCTGCCAGCCGGAGTCACAGTGGCTCTGTGGTCTAATCAGTTAGTCTCAGGCCCCGATTATAAAAAGGTCTTCACAAATTGTAAGTGAGGTCCAGCTGCATTATGGAAAATGATCCACTGTATTCCAAGACATGTAAAATACTGGTGTAAATGCTGGCATGTGAACTGACAGTCTTGGAGGAATATCTGGCAATGTATATACCCTGTGAGCTGGCAATCATATCTAGGACACTGCCTACTGGGCCTCTCCTGGAGGCCCACATGCGAAGGCCCTGGGATGGTCGCCCCAGGAATGCTTGGATCTGCTTCCCTGCCCCCCTTGCTGCTCAGCTTGGGGTTCTAGTGTCTTGTCCCTACTCTTTCCCCAATGGCTGCCAGATTGCCTGTTCTGCCACTCTGCTCAACTTTCTCCTCCACTGGCCTGCATTCAAATTGCTCAGGATTTCTAGCCTTACTGAAGACCACCAGCCCATTTCCTAGGGTGGCTTTCTTTTTTAATGGATGAAAATCCTGAAGCAAACTGTTCTTGAAATGATCTTGTTTTATAGATCATCAAGAAAGCCATTCCCTAACTTCCTACCCCTATTTGGCCCTTTGTAAACAGTTGTTTTTTCTTCTTTTCATTTGAATATTCGCTTCTCAATGTGGGCTTTACCACATCTCAGAGACCCCGGCTTTAGTCCTGTGTCCCTTCAGGGACACACTCCCTCGTCTCTTCTACAAGGTTCTCTGTACCTTTGGCTAATTTCCTGTCTGGGTTTTATATCTGACCCAAGTTCTTCTTCATTTACAGTCCTTGTCCTATAGTGAATGTGGTTGTGTTTCCCGTCAAACGTTTACTTTTCTATTAGTACTTAGAAGTGCTAATTGTCTGCCACGTCCCTAATTCTCTTACCAAACTGTCACAGTATCAGTGTCCCACATGTTTCATGTGCTCTAACAGCTTTGAGCCATAGCTTCCCGGTTGTGAGATCTGACTTTCTAAGTCTCCTTTTTGTACTCTTGGACTTGGTAGTTTGATTGAATTTTATATTCTCAGAATCATAAAGTACTGGGATGGAGAGGCAAGTGTCCTGTGGAAAAGTCAGCTAGGGTTTTCCTGGAGGTATCAGTCTAAACCAAGTCCAGAGCCAATGAGATGCAGGACCCACATGACGGGAGGAGAGAAATGACTCCTGAAGATTTCCTTCTGATCTCTGTGTGCAAGCACACGCACACCTATACACGCACACACACGTAGACATAAGTACAGACACATGTGTGTGCACACACAGACATACACACAGAGAGACATACATATACAGACATGCTCAGAGACACATGCACACACACACAGACATACACACACAGCTACAGACACATGCACACAGATACATGTGCAAATACACACAGACATACACACGCAGAAACACATGTACACACACATACATACATACATAGAGAGACAGATATACATAGGCACAGGCATGCACACAAACACAGACATACACACAGACATATATATATATATATACACACACACACACACAGGCACAGACACACAGAAACACAAATCATAAAAAGAAATGAAATAAACCTGAATCCAAAGAGTTAGAGCTTTTGGTTTGGTTTTCTTTAAAATGCCTAATTAAAAAAAAAAAAAAAAAAAAAAAAAACAACCAGCAGCAGGCCATACATTCATGTGTCTTGGTTTCTTCCACAGGGATCTATTTGCAATGACTACATAACCACCATCTTCTGTCCTGTTTGCTCTCTGTGCCAAATCAAGAGAGACATTAACCAGAGGAAAGCCATGAATGCTTTCTAAGGAGCTGAATGGTAAGTCTCTGTGGGCTTGGGAAACAGAATTAGGGGCTGGGGAAGTTATTAACTCAAAATGGCAATTCCTTAAGTCTCCCAAAGTGCTATCTCATTATAATAATATAATTGGTTTTGATTTCTTTTTACTTTGAGGCATATTTTAGTAATGTTGAATTTTTATAAACTCACCGGGATTATTTTGTTCTATTAATGAAGCAACTTACTACTTATTAGCTACCAGAGTACAGTAAACAAAAAAAGAAGTTGAAGTTGGTGGTATATACCACATGGTGGTATATCCTGTAACCCCAAAACTCAGGGGGCACCAGAAGGGTTGCCCTCAAACCCAACCTGGTCTCTGTAAGTTCTGGGCTAGTCAGGGCTATGAATGCTATAATGGAATAAGAAGGGTCTCAAAAAATAAAATGAGGGGTGGGGTTATAGTTCACTCTGCCAAGTGCTTGCTGTGTAAGCAAGGGCCAGAGTTTGGATGCCCAAAACTAGTGTTTGTGTGTGTGTGTGTACACGCAAGCATGTGTGTGCTTAGTTCTGTGTGTGTGAGCATGTGTGAAAGCTGGGCATAGCAGTCTATAACCCCAACGTGGCTGTGTAGGGGACAGAAACAGTGGACCTCTGGGGCCCACTGGCTAGCGAGTGTAGCCAAAAGGGCAAGCTTCAGGTTAGCAAGCTCTTCTCTGGAAAACAAGAGTGGAGAAGTGATGGCGGAGAGGTATTTCAGTGTCAACCTGGCCTCTCGCATAGGTGAACTTGCTTGCATGTGTATACATACACAGAGAGAGAGAGAGAGAGAGAGAGAGACAGTGTGTGTGCTTTTAAAACTAAAAAGACAAATAAAAAAGAAGCCAAAGATACATTTCGTACTAAAACAATGTGGTGAAACAGGTAAACAATTATAAGATTAGAATTATATGTGTATATATTTAAATATTTATATAGTTATATATTTAAATATATATAAATATAGTTAAAAATCAAGACTGGCAGACTCTGCAATATTTGGGTTATTTGTGATATAAAAATCCACTTGCTAGTCAGGAGGTTGTGGCTCATGCCTTTGATCCCAGCACTCGGGAGGCAGAGGCAGGCACATCTCTGTGAGTTTGAAGGAATTTGATGCTTTCTCCTGGCCTAGGGCACTAGTCACACATGTACACAGACAGTCACACATGTAAAATAGTCATACACATAGGATAATTTAAAAAACAAATAAGGGAATGCTGATACACTATTGGGTGAGAGGAACCTATGAGATACAAGGACCCAGGGCAGTTCAGTGCTTGGACAGGGTCCCAGAACAGAAAGGGCAGCTTGGAGAAAATGTGAGGGATCTGAATCAAGTCCACTCTGGCTAACAAGGTACCGATGTTGGCTGTCAGCTGTGATAATCCTCTATGTTAACGCCTGATTTAACTCACAGGGAATTGGGGCACTAAGTGTCTGGGAACTCGGCACTATCTGTGTAGCTTCTCAGTGTCTCCAAGATGATTGTGCAAATTAATGTTTATTAAAAAACAAAAACGTGGATTGAGAAATCCCCAAACAATTCTGTGCTTCCCTCACAGGTGAGAGCTCTTGCTGAAGCAGCTGAACTCAGAACACACCTCTCCAGCTCTACAAATCTTTTGCAACTGAGATATTTGATGGATGACATTTTAGAAATTTGACTCTTTGCTTTATTTTAAATGGATGTTGCTCTTTGACTTGGTTGCTCCTTGGTCCTATACCAGCAAATACTCCAACTTATACATTGTTTACACTTTAAACACAAACCAAATAAAAGATTTTACTAAGAGGACTGTTTTGTCTTGTGTGCAGGCGGAAATGGGTTTTAATGTTATGGCCTCATAGGTGCTAAGTAACTGCTACACCCCCAAGCCAGACCTTTAGCCCCTACCTACATCCTTTATGCATATTTGCCTTCACACATATACTCCTGACACCAATTAAGGGTTCAATCTCTTCATACCACCACCACCGTGCCCCCTCTCACCCTCTCAATTGTTAAGTGTCTGGGCTTTCATCAATAGCATTTAGATCCATGAAGCTTGAGGTGGGCTGTGGAAGCCATAGGCTACAGCTAATGAACTATTCTGAGACACTTTCTTTCCCTGTTACTTATCCGCGTGTCAGACTCTCCTTTGGGCCGCCAGTGCACAGAAAATGACAGAGACTTATTAGTTGTGAAAGCTTGGCCTATAGCTTAGGCTGGTCCCACTAGCTCTTATAACTTAAATTAACCCATTTATATTAATCTATGTTTTGCCTCTTGGCTTTTTACCTCTCTTCCATCTTGCACCTCCTGTTTCCTCTCCGTGTCCTCTGGTGTCTCCCACACCTAGATTCATCTCCACTTCCTCTCTCTCTGATCCGAAGTACTCCATATCGTCCCTGTCTATTAGCTATTCAGATCTTCATTAAACCAATCAGAAGGTGCCTTTGCAAAGACATATCCTTAGTGTACGGAAAGATTATTCCGCAACACCCAGGTCTGGCTTCTAGCTGAATGTTTAAGAGGTTTGTAGTATTTTTATATTATATATTTTTAAATATGAGGTAGTGATGTCAGAGAAATTCAAAGTAATAAAATTTATATTATAAAGGATTTACCAATAGGTTTGCTTAGGAGACATTAAATTACACAAAGTAGACTTTAACTAAAAGAGAGGTGTCCCCAAAATACCTCAGAGATAACCAGTATGTTAACCAGGCCTGTTACAGATAAGCAAAATTTGATGCAAGGACATATTTGTTCACCAGGATTTACCTATCAGCGATTAGGCCCAACCCCAATGAACTTGCCTCTAACTCACAGTTCAAGGGGCAAAACAGGGTTCCCCAACCACCATTAAATCCTGATAGCCATTAAGTTCCCTGTACTCTTATCAGGAAAAGATAATTCTGCCAGGTGGCCAACCTGAACCTGGGTGACTTAACTATTCAGAAAGGACCACACTGGTGCATTTAAGCAATAAATAATTCAGGCAACGCCTATGCTATGAAAATCTCCCATCTGCCTAAGCTACCTGATTCACATTCTCCTGTCCCTATTTAAATTATTCAAAGCATAACCCAGGGTGAAGACAAAAAAAAAAAAAAAAAAAAAAAAAAAAAAGACTGAAGGACAAAAGTGCACAAGCCTAAGGTATGTAGCAGTTCAGTGTTCTATTGAGATCAGCTCTTATTAGTGTGTTAGCTGCAGGCAGCCACACACACTTTAACAAAGGGTTTTCTCTTCACTTTCTTGAGAGCATGGAGTGACAGCTAGGGAAAACATACAATTTCTGTAACAATAGCAATAAAATTGTCATTGTTAAATGCAATGATTCAGTTTTGGTTAAATATTGATGGACAAATATATAAAACATTTTTAAAACCATTTTTTATCCTACTTAATTCTGTCCTGAATCTTATTTGTGATTTCCCACAAGTCATTCAAGGCTTAAGTCCATTTCATCTGTCAAGGTCAAGAAGAACGATAAAGCCATCTACCGAAGTAGGTTTATTGTGAAATTTCAGTAAGATAAAAATCAAGGCACTGGCATTCCTTTCTTTCTTTCTTTTTTTAACTAATTTTTTTTTTATGTGAATTTGCCTGCATTTGTATTTGTGTGAGAAAATCAAAACCTTTTGACAGGAGTTACAGACAGTTATGGACTGTCATGTGGTTGCTGGGAACTGAACCTGGGTCCTCTGGAAGAACAGCCAGTGCTCTTAACTGCTGAGCCATCTCTCCAGCTCCCGGCACTGACATTTCATAGACAACAATCATGAGTACTTAGGCCCTTCCTTCCCCACTCTCGGAGCAGAGTGCTTTGTGGGACTCTACTCTCCCCTTTCACATAAAATGTGAAATGTCTCTCCCTGCATAGTCCTCACCCAGCTTTCACTGCCTCCCGTAGTCACAGGGACTCCACCACCACATTTCCTAAAACCCAGGCCCGAGGAGGAAGAACTGCCTCTCTTGAGTTTTCACGACTTCAGCTATTATTGCTGGTGGACTTTCCTTGAATGTCATTGACAGCCACTTGTTTGTGTAAACGAACCTAATTCTGACCAACTGCATCCACAGGCATGACTGACACACAAGGTTTGGTTCATTTCTCTTAAACGGCAGTGAAGAGTGAGCCGATGTGAACAATAAAGTCTGCAGTACTGAACTGGAATGTTCTATGAGTGTGCACTGTTTTGGTAATCCTTTGGAGTTTCTGACCAAATAATCATGTCAACTCCAAAAACATTTTTTTCTTCCTTTACAATCTCTCTGTTTATTTTATATAGCTAAAGATTATGAAATGAATGTTAAACAGGGGTGTTGAGAGTAGGCACAGGACTTCTTTAATCTCAGCATTCTGGAAGCAGAGAAAAGTGGATCTCTGAGTTTAAGGCCAGAACTTTGGTCTACAGAGTGAGTTCCCAAATAGCCAGGGTTACACAGAGAAACCCTGTCTCAAAAAACAACAAAAAGAGTAGACACCTTTGTCTAGTTTCCAGTCATGTGTAAGATGGATAGACTCTTGCTATTAACTGTACAATTAGCTATACACTCTTTTCTGCATCCTTTACCATGTTGATGTGGTCCTCTCTTGCTAACTTCCTGACTTTAAATCATGAATGAGTTCGATTGTATCAGGTGCTTTTTCTGTACCCACTGATGGTGTGGGCCACATTAGTCAGCTTTGAATGCTGGCCTAGCCGTGCATGCCTGGATTAATGTCACTTGTTGTAGTGGCGGTTATTTATCTGGTGTTGGGTTTGACTTAATACTTGGTCTGATAGGTATCGCTGTCCTAAATTAAAATTTTAAGGAAAAACCTTTTTGATACCGGTTTTCATGTAGCCTAACAGGCCTCCTCCTCACTAAGCAGCTGAGGATGATCTTGAACTCTGGTCTTAGGGCTTCAGACGGTAGGAGTTACAGGAGTGTGTCACCATAGGCAGTTTTTCTGTGGTGCTGAGAACCGAACCCAGGGCTTTGAATGAGCTAAGCAAGCATTCCGCTGAGCTCCATCTCCAGTAATATTTGTTTTTGCGTAAGTTTTGATGTACGGTCTACCAAGCTGACCCCAGACTTTTGATCCTCCTGCCTCAGCTCTCCTAGTGCTGCGATTTCAGGCATGTGCCAGCACAACCATTTCAGCAAATGCTTGACTGGTCCTGATCTTATTCCTTACTGTATATAGGGTTTGCTCTTTTTAACCCACATCATTTCTTTCTCATAGAAGAATTTCTTTTGGTATTTCTGGTGTGACAGATCCTCTGCTCACCCCCTCCCTACACCCACCCTCACAAAAGAAAAAAAAATCTGTTTTCATTGCAATAGTCTTTGCTTTCACTCTTAAAGTATAATTTTGTTGTGTAGTCTGTGCTGGGTTTTTATTCAGTACCTTAAATATTTCTTCTCTGTTCTTGAGTGATTTCTGAAGAGAAAGCCAATGTGATTCTTACTCATGTTTCCTCTCTGGGAGAGGTGTTTTGTCTTTTTCAATGTTCCCTGTCTTTGGTTGCTGCAGTTCAAATGTGGTAATATCCCAGTGTTCAAAACAATGAATACTTTCCCCGGTTTGTAATCAGAGCTCTTGCTTTGTTTGATACAGGGTCTTTTTATATATTCTCAATTGTCCTGAAACTCACACAGAAGCCCTGTCTCCAGAGTTCTGGGTTAGAGGTGTCAGCCACCACACAAGGCCATTTTCTGATGTTGTTTTTTCCTACATTTGTTTTGGGAACTGGAGAGTGAACTCAGGCCAAATGCTTATTTTTTGAGGCAAGGTCTTGCTGTGTAACCTGGGCTAGCCTCAAACTTGAGATCCTCCCATGTCAGTCTTCCAAGTGCTGAGGCAGGCATGTGTTTCTGTACCTGATACTACTCAGGTTTCTGAACTTCCTGCATCTGTAACTTGGTAACTGTGGAACACAGATTCTCTTCTGGTATTGTCATTATATGTGAACTTTCATAATTTCCCCACAGTTCTTAGATACCCTTCTATTTCCCTTTGCCGCTTTACACTTGAGTTTGGGAAGTTTTTTTTACTATGGACAGCTTCAGTTTCTGTGGCTTTGGGCTATTTCTCCTCTTGGCCATCTCCAGTGTAAAAACCAACTCAATAGTAGGTATTCATGTCTTTTTCTGTGTTTATTTCTTGCAATTCAATCCTTAGTTTCAACTTTTCCTTACTATGTTAATCACTGTTGCTTTCAATACCTGGTCTGATAATTCCAACACCCCCTCATTATATATTAGTCTTGTTCTGATGCCTGCCATATCTCCTACAATGGCTCTCATCTGTTAGCGAGTTTGGTAATGTTTGGCTAGAAGTTGGACATGATACATGAGGCACCAGGCTATAGGTAATTAGGCTTTTGTTGGGAGGTTTTGTGGTAGTCTGAGCAGGAACTGGACCGACTGTTCCCTATAGCTATAACTGAAAGAGGCTGCAGTTTCCTTGTTTTCCTGTTTGATCTGAGGGGTAGTCCCTCAGAATTCCTTCTTTGGGTGTTTTGCACTCTGATAGTCATAATTCAATGGATCCCTGATCTCAGATAATATCTGAGAAGTACTCAATATTATAGTCAAGTTTGTTTATGTATGATGTATATGTGAACAGGGTCAGAAATGTGCCATGATTCCCATGTGGAGGATAATCTTTAAATTTAGAATTTTTTTTTTTTTTTTTTTTTTTTTTTTTTTTGTGTGTGTGTGTGTATGGGTGTTTGACATTATGTCTAGGTCTCACTTGCACACCTGGTACCTTCAGAAGACAGAAAGGGGGATAGATCCCTATAACTGGAGTT